ACCTAAAATTTCGGTCAAACGGTAGCAATTACTTTATAGATGTTACGGTTCCCTCACTTTTTGTTGAAGCGTTCACCCTTGCTTCAAAGTGAGAGAAAGTAAGTGGTGTTTTTGCTCAAGTTTGAATACACTAAACCTAATAAATGGCATTTACAGAAAATGACTTTTAGTAATAATATCAACATTTTTAGCATACACAATTTTCAAAGAAGTTATTTCAAAATCAATGGACAAATGTCATTTATGAACCTCATTCTTTCCACTGTCCATCTGTGATGAACGATGACTTTATACAACAAATTGTTATTTATGAAATTCTAAGAATTTTCTTTTTCTAAATGTCGTGAAAATCCTTTTCCTGTAATAATTTTACAGGTAAATGATTTTACAGGTAAATTTACAACAAAATGAACGATTTCTCAGAAAGTTTAATTGTTTTCAGGGAAAAATACTACAGTTATGCATAAATTATTAAAAAAAGTAAATTATTTACTATTGTAAAGACATTCAAATTATTTCTTTATAATTATTATAGGAAAATTTTAGCGTTTATTTTTTGATAAAATTAATTAAATTTTATAAATGAGTGAATTATTTAATCACACTTTACTAAATAATTTAACATTGTAGCAAAAAAATACGTTTTTTTTTTAATAATTAATTAATTTCTCCTTTAAAGTCTTAGTGATAAAAATAATAATTATTATAACAAAGCACGAAATTAATGGTTGAGATTGTTGTAACCAAAGTTTCCTTCTGCTCCTAACATTATTTTTTTCTTTTAATCTCTGATAATAATAATCATCATTATCACTATCATCTTAACTATAAATTTTGACGGTCTCTTCACTAAGAAATTAAAGGAATTAATTGAAAATAATTTTGCTTTCCTTCTAGTTTGTTTCTTGTTTATTATTTCATTACTTAACAATTTTTGAGATGAGTAAAAGTTGGAATAATCTTTGTAAATCTACGGAAAACAAGTGGATAAACATTATTTATTAATTTAATGCTTTAGTGTATAATTAATTAATCATAATTTTACTTATTATTTTAACATTGTATGAAAAAAATACGTTTATTTAAAGATTGATATTAAATATCAATTTTTGAGATGAATAAAGTTGCACATTTTATTGCAAATCTACTGAAAAGTAGTCGTATCGATGCGTGGATTCACGCATTGGAAATGAATGATTCGCAATAACGTTGTCCTTTACTTTCCCCCCAGCTCCCAGTGTTATTTAGTTTTTAAGAATTATTGCAGTCAAGTACAAAATGATGGGACAAAAATAACGAGGAAAAGCTAACTTGTATATAATACGCGACAATCCAATAATTTCGATCATATCATTTTCACTCTATCTCTCTGTGTATATATCATTTAAATCTTCCATCATTTCATCATTTTGAATATAAATATAGTCGAATATAGTTGCTCAGCAACCGCAGAACCACTTCGCCCCCGCCGGATACCACCACCAGATGGCCGGATACGCCACCCCCGTTCACCACCACCATCAGAACTTCCCAACTCGCCACGCTCAAGATTGCAACAACGAATATTCCAATCAGCACCACCAGATGGTCTAAAAGTGGATTCACGCATTGGAAATGAATGATTCGCAATAACGTTGTCCCTTACTTTCCCCCCAGCTCGATCATTTCAAACGAAGCAAAACGTAAGTGTGTTATTTAGTTTTTAAGAATTATTGCAGTCAAATACAAAATGATGGGACAAAAATAACGAGGAAAAGCTAACTTGTATATAATACGCGACAATCCAATAATTTCGATCATATCATTTTCACTCTATCTCTCTGTGTGTATATCATTTAAATCTTTCATCACTTTGAATATAAATATAGTTGCTCAGCAACCGCAGAACCACTTCGCTGCAACCGCAGAACCACTTCGCCCCCGCCGGATACCACCACCAGATGGCCGGATACGCCGCCCCCGTTCACCACCACCATCAGAACTTCCCAACTCGCCACGCTCAAGATTGCAACCAGATGGTCTAAAAGTGGATTCACGCATTGGAAATGAATGATTCGCAATAACGTTGTCCTTTACTTTCCCCCCAGCTCGATCATTTGAAACGAAGCAAAACGTAAGTGTGTTATTTAGTTTTTAAGAATTATTGCAGTCAAGTACAAAATGATGGGACAAAAATAACGAGGAAAAGCTAACTTGTATATAATACGCGACAATCCAATAATTTCGATCATATCATTTTCACTCTATCTCTCTGTGTATATATCATTTAAATCTTCCATCATTTCATCATTTTGAATATAAATATAGTCGAATATAGTTGCTCAGCAACCGCAGAACCACTTCGCCCCCGCCGGATACCACCACCAGATGGCCGGATACGCCACCCCCGTTCACCACCACCATCAGAACTTCCCAACTCGCCACGCTCAAGATTGCAACAACGAATATTCTAATCAGCACCACCAGATGGTCTAAAAGTGGATTCACGCATTGGAAATGAATGATTCGCAATAACGTTGTCCTTTACTTTCCCCCCAGCTCGATCATTTGAAACGAAGCAAAACGTAAGTGTGTTATTTAGTTTTTAAGAATTATTGCAGTCAATACAAAATGATGGGACAAAAATAA